CACTTAGAGACTCTTGTACTTCATCAGGGTTTTGCAGGGATGAGGTAACAAACAGACATCATGCTGTTCTACAGCACAAGCACCATCTGACTTGTCTCAGGATCTAGCTTGGCAAAGAACATAGAATCGGCAAATAATTACAAAAAGCTTTCTGGCCTCAGCTGCACATTCATATGTTAGGTAACAGTAAAAAAAAGCCACTGACTTAATGAAATATGTACAATGGGGAAATGGGGGGGAGGAGGGAACACCCACAGAAACAAGACAGCACAGTACTCTGCCAGAAGAGAGAAGCTGGAGGAATAAATGTATTTACAACACACACAGCTTTTCACAACAAAGAAGAAAGAAGCCTGGGATTTCCCCTCACTCGCTTTAGACTCGAGATCTGCAAAGAGCAGCTCTGGTGACTAAAAATGCGGATTACATTTTTCACGAGCCATAGGTCCAGCCACACAACTCAGCATTGAAGGAAGTCAAGTGACTGAACCCCTTTGAACCACCCAGGGAAATTCTACAGGTCCATGAATTCACACTGTTCTAGCATGCCCTTCAAATAGCCATGGCTCTCAGTGTGTGTGTGTGTGTGTGTGTGTGTGTGTGTTACCAATCTCACATAGCTGAAAAGCCCAAAGAAGGGGCTAGGAGGGGTGAGAAGCACAGGATCTCAAACTCACTCAGAAATTGTATGGGAACAGAAGCATTACTGGGAACTGTAGTTGCTCAGGCTGGTTTTGACAGTACCATCATGACTATTAGCTTCACCAATTAATTTTGAATTCCCTAATCATCCCTGAAGGTTTTCTGTTTCCTGTAATGTACTTGGCCTGAAGGGTGGGATGGAAGTGTGGAAAGATAACAAGAATGTGAGTCTTAGCATCATGGCATCAGGTAGCATTAAAGCGCTCTCCTTTCTCTCTCTCACTGCACTAAAGTCACTTACGTTCACTCTCAGTTTTAGCCCTTACTCTTTTTTTTTTTAAATTCTCCTTTACAGCTAAGTAGAAAGAATTTTTGTTCTGAGGACAGAGGGACACATATCAAGCCCCCCACTGGCCGCACTTTCTAATGTGTGTTTTATTTTGGCAACAGATCTTCATTTTTCTCACCTCTCCAATTTGTTTAGCAATGAAGGACGAAGCCGAATGGAGAGCGACAGCCTCCATGTTACAGCATGACTGACACTCTCAGACTCCTGGCCAATTCTGGTTCTTGGCGATCCTACAGGACTTGGTGACTAAATGGACAGTACTGTCTCAGTATGAAAAAAATCCAGCAACAGATATGACACTTATACGCTACCCTTCCAATTCACATCGGAAATGATTAAGCAGAACTAAACTTTTGAACCCAACGTTATTCTAGTATCAGGGGATAGCCATGCTAGTCTGTATCCACAAAAACAACAAGGAGTCCAGTGGCACCTTAAAGACTAACAGATTTATTTGGGCATAAGCTTTCGTGGGTAAATTGTATCTGAAGAAGTGGTTTTTTTACCCATGAAAGCTTATGCCCAAATAAATCTGTTAGTCTTTAAGGTGCCACTGGACTCCTTGTTGTTAATGTTATTCTAGTTATTTATTGGTTTCAGAGTAGCAGCCGTGTTAGTCTGTATCTGTAAAAACGAACAGGAGTACTTGTGGCACCTTAGAGACTAACAAATTTATTAGAGCATAAGAATGCATTCTTCGGATGCATCCGAAGAAGTGGGTTGTAGCCCACGAAAGCTTATGCTCTAATAAATTTGTTAGTCTCTAAGGTGCCACAAGTACTCCTGTTCGTTTTTATAGTTATTTATTGTAAGTTCCAGAAATATCTTATGGTTTCTTAAACTTTAGGACAATTAATCTGCTCAGACCCCTTATTCATTTTAACAGAAGCAGCAGCAAGTTGAACCATGAAACTTATGTTTTTAGTTTATTAATAATACTGCCTAGCACAGTTTTCATCAGTAGATCTCAAAGTGCGTTATAAAAGAGTTCAGGATCGTTATCCCCATTTTACAGATAGGAAAACCAAGGCGCAGCATGGGAAAGAGACTTGCCCGTAGTCACCCAGAAGACCAGTTGGGAATAGAGCCCAGGTCTCTTGAGTCCCAGTCCAGCACTCCATTCTTCAATGGCATGTGATTTGCTCAATATGAATAAGAGGCTACAATAGGGTACCACAATGAAATCCACAGCTGACATGCTTGGATTCATTGCAATAGAACATGTGCGTGCATGCGCACACACGCTATGGATACAGAATGATTTTGTAGAATACTAGGAAATATGAAATGCCATTTTAAAAAAAGGAAAATCCCTGCATAATGCTGATTCGGTTTAAAGTACCTGAACCATCAATAACACATGCAGTCGCAGAACTGGAATGGTGACCCTGGTATTAAGAGATGCGTACATCTTTCTGGTTTTCCATTATGAGGATATCTAGCCTGTGTCACTTTTGGGCTTTGTTCACCCCTTGATGGAACATCCCTTAATATTAATGGGCATGAGAGCTGGGGTTTTCCATGAAGCCCAAAGGAGTTGGGAGCCTAAGACCCACTGAAAGTCAATGGGAGTTGGACCGAACTCTCTTTTGAAGATCCTAGTCTGGAGGTTTCTCCACTTAATAAGCAGAACCATAGGGAAGAAACAAAACAGCCAGCTAATACCTTATACCACTGAATAAAGAGATCATGTATTCTGGATATCACATGCACAGGGATGATGTATACGGTCGCTCCAAAATGCACTACAATTTTCTGTCTGGGACTTGGTCCAATTTTTAATTTTTTTATATATCTACTTTCCATATTTATTTTGCCATTGACTATTTGAAGACAGTATATTTATAGATATCTATCTACATCCTCAAACACCGGATTAAATGAATCCTTGGTGGAACTCTTGACTTCAAGGGGCTTAGACCGGGCATCAATTTCACCCACAATGTATATTTACACACATTCACAGTATACACCGTATCTAGGCACACACCCCATTCCTAGAGCATTTCACACTTCTATACAGTCGCACCTTTCATCCTGAAGTGCTTTACAAACAAACTGAGTGATGAACTGTGCAATCATGCCACCTACTACTGAAGAGTAGCCATTTCTAGGGTGGAACGTGGCAGCTGTTTAACAGTGTACAGCAACACCATGCAAAAAAAAGTTTAGGATAAGAATTAATAATGGATTAAACACAAAGCTGGAAGGAGAATTTAGGGATGGAATGAAATTCAGACAGGAAACCTGGAGGTTAACAACATGCAAATAGTTTCCAGGAAACTCTGATGACCACGTGTGCCCTAGAGATCAGTTTTATTTCATCATGCAAAAGATAGCACCTAGCACTGATCATTTAACAACATGGGCGGGAGGTGGGGGGGGGGCATGATTGTCTCAGGGATGGAATGCCATGTACTAATCATTAAGACAACTTTCTGCAGCAGTTGGATTTCCTTGGTAGTACTAACATGGAGCAGCCTCTGCTTAGCTTGTCAGATTTGACCAAGACCACAGCACAGGGCTACAGACCTCATTCAGATGTACTCTTATTTGCTGGTAGTCAAGAAGTGCCAGTGATGGAAAGGCTCGATGTTAGATCTCTCTGTATCATATGTGATCTTGTAGAGTCATCCTGTTACTCATTTATCTCCACCTGACTGTCCCAAACATTACAGCTAATGTTAAAAAAGAAAGCCCTTTTCTCGTGTGTTTTCTAAGTTCACGTAACACTAAGCGAGCCCAGATGAGATTCGTTATTATGCAGCAACAACCAGCAAACATACTATCCAGAAAGATGTGGTTTCTGCTTAGATTTTCTACTGTTACAATAGCTCATGCCAATATTTGCATTGTCTGATTTGTAACAGCACCTTAACCGCCACCTAAGAGACACTATGTGGGTGGTATAACGTGGGTGCAATAAAACCGATGAGCGGAAACCTAAAGCAAATTATTTTCAGTCTCTATCAAGCAGCTGTTTGAAAACAGCGCAATGTTGTCTTTATGAACCGATTCCTACCTGGGATGCTAATTGGTTTTCTCCCTATACTCCCAGATAACTGAGGCAAGTATTGCTTTAAGCTCACCTCTAAACTATTTGATCTCAGGTTCTCCTCTGGTGCTGCAGACAGTGACACCTGTTGTTTTCTGCTAAGTAGTAGCCGCTAGTCTGAAAAGAGAAGAGTAGTTTGCTTCTTTAACACCCTCAGCACAGGGGCCATACAAGAGCAGCATTCATTCCAGAAAGAGGTTGTCACAAGTTTCAATGCTGAAACTTTGTTAGCTTGTATTCAACCGCGCATCTGGTGTCACCTCTAGGTAACACTCCACAATTCTCTCTCATGATACTCACAAGTGGAAAGTCATCCTGAATCCTACTGGGACTGCTGTGTGAGCTCGGGATAAAATGGTCACTCTAAAGAACAAATTGTTCGGTGCAAGGACCACACTTCAAGGAACAGAGAGTCGGCTCAGATTCAACCGAATCTTAGCACAACAACAGAAAGAAATTTCCTCTTATGGAAATAGATCTCTGTATGTTTCACACTATCCCTGGAAGGGGAACATTTGCTTATAAATGTTTCCTTTTGAGAATCATTTATTCAGGCAAGAGAATTTAAACTGCTTCTGAAGTCTCAAATTGGTGACATTTACACAGAGTTTATTGCATGGACAGTAGCTTCCTAGACTCAATCAGGCACAGGCTACCAGTGTTACAGAATCTATGCTGTCTCAACTTGTAGGCATTTAGCAACATGGCTTTTCCACTTCATTAGTTCAGTCCCAACTCATTCCTGTAAGTGAACAGGGGAGAAAGTTTTACCTGACCACAAACATCTTTGCCAAGTGACAGAAAAAAATCTGCATTTTTTTTTAAAGAACAAGTTTCCAAAGGAATACAAGATGATCTGTTTTACTGGTTCTCTCCCACCCCCTCGCCCTCCTTTTGAGATGCAGATGCTAAATAACCAACTGAAGTTAGAGAAATAAAAGATGTTCAAAGAGTAGAGAGAAACGAGGTTGACTTTCAGCCCCGACACAGGCTAGATGGTTGGTTTAAGCTGGCTGTCAAACAACAACAAAAAGAGTCACCCACACAAATCAATCTGGCATTACTTCTGTAATAATAATGCCACTCTTTGGATTGCAATGCAGCAGGACAGCACTTACCTGGAGATGGTTTGGTGGGGGGTGACCTCAGTTCCTGCTGCTCTCTTTGCACTAAAGTGCCTCTTCTGAGCCGAGAGTGCAGTTTGAGGGGTCCCCTTTGCTTTAGAAAATACTCTGCAGCCAGGGAAATGTGCTGCTGCTTCTTCCTGGCAAATTTCACTGGAGTTATCCAAGCAAACCCCTCCCAGGGTCCACCCCCTCCAAGCTCAGACACACCAGCTAGGCTGATGGGTGATATCATGGGCTTTTGCTGTAATCTGAGAGCTGTGGCATTCCTTGAGCGCTGCACTGAAATGATTTGCAGCCAAGGAGGTGAACAGGGAATGTGAGCTGCTTTCCAGGAGGCCCCTAAAGAACAGACCATTCAGGATCACTTTACCGTGTATTATTATTTAAGATCTATATTGCTGTAATGCCCAGAGACTCCAATGGGGTTCAGGGTCCCATTGTGCTGGGTGCTGTACAAACACATAGTAAGACATGGTCTTACAGCAAAGCATCCGTTATAATTACCTCCCTTTCTAGGGCTTTAGTCTTGAAACATTCCTCCTCCAAAGCTGTTTTTTGTGTAGGTCTCATCTCACTTTAACCTGTTTGTCGTTGTGTTCAGCCCTATCTAGCACCTCCAGCTCTGTGCTGTTTTTCACACTTTTTCGTAGCAAGGGTAGTCAAATCTGAGGCACGTACTCACAGGCTATATATCTCCTGGATCTGCATCATCAGTTACTCCACAAAGTCTGATGCCCTGGGGATTAGCCAGCTCTCATTAAAGCTGTATTTCCCCTCTGTCAAAAAACTGACCCCTGCAGGTACAGGAACACTAAAAAGATTGAATTCAGAGACGGCCTCAGCCATTGAATCCAAATACACCGGAGATTTGGTGTTAAAATATAAATTTCACCACTCGCTCTCTCTCTAATGGGCCAGACTAAACCAAGATCCTTGAGCCCTGGAGAGGTTTAAATTCAGATCATCTCATTTGCACAGTTCTCAGTTGTAGCCTTTGAAGATTAATATTGGGTAGAGCTGGTCAAAAATTGTGATGGAATAGTTTTCCATCAATGCAGTTTCATTGAAATCAAAACATTTTGTGGAAATGCGTTGATTTCACCTAAGTTTCTGATGGAAGGAAGTTAAAACATTTTCTGTCGATAATGTTAAAATGTTTCGTTTCAACTTTGTTTCATTTGATTTCATTTTGACTTGTATAATAGAACATTTTATATTGTACCCTTTCAACCTCATCTCAAACAAAAACTTTTGGAATTTCCGTTCTATGGGAAATTTCACCATTATGTCTTGAATTGGAACAAAAATTTTGATATAGCAGTATAGCCCATGGAACAGAAATCCTGTTTTCTGACCAGCTCTGATACTGAGATTTTCAAAGGAGACTAGGGGTGTTTAAGAACCCAAATCCCACTGAAAGTCAATAGGCGCTGGGTTACTGACTCCTCAGTCTAAATGGGTATAGGTAAGACTTGCAAAGGGTGGACTTCTAGTCCTTTTCTGAAGTTGAGAACTAAGGGCCTGAGCAAACAACCCATTAAGTCTGTGCGAGACTTTCCATATACTTCAGTAGCTTTGGATCAGACCCCAAAGTATTAAAAGACCTGCTGGCAATCCATTCCACCCCCACTCCACATGCACAGTCCCCACCAGCCCAGGACTGCTCCCTACAGCACATTCCCCAGGGTTTGGTCCCCCCGGTTCTATATTCATTTCCAAATTCATTCACTTATTCTGAAAAGTTAAAACGCTTAACCCAAACCTCTGATTACATTTCCAGCAGTCAGCCTATAAATGTGTGAGAACAGACTCTTACATCAGATTTCTGCTATTTCCCTGCTTCTTGTCAATTAGCAGAGCCCCTTCATTTCTAAAACATCATTTATTTACACCAGATATGGCCATTATTCCTTACACAGGGAATACCACCAGTGGCCTTGTGATCGGGTCAATCAATTGTCTGTTCCTGATCCATATTCAGGAGTATTATTAAACTATCCATTCCAGCTGTTGTTTGGGGCTCAGGTCAACCGGCGAAGCATCATCAGTCTCTGATTAGGTCTCTTATCCTAGAGCAAGCATCTGAACATTTTTTAGCACAATCATAAGCAGAGACAACATATTGCTCATTTCCACCACGAAGCTTTAGTCTGCCAGGGAAATTCTGTTGGAGTGATTTTAATATTAACTGCTGCCTCCTTAAAAACTAAATTGTGTCAGCTTAGATCTTGATATTATGCCCATCACTACAAGCAGAGTCTTATCCACAAAAGAGATATAGCATGGATGATAGTAAGGAAGTTTTCCCCATACTGATGGGTCAATGTGCTTCAAACTCACACCAGTAGGGGAAATAGCTGGGTTCGGTCTCTACGACCCATTCGATCTTTGGCCTCTCTGTTAAGTAAGCAACAAGGGGAGCAATTATTTAAATTGGGGACCATCATTTTGTTCTGTGTTGGTAGAGGTCTAGCACAATGGGGCCCTGGTCTATGACTTTGGCTTCTGGGTGCTAAAGCAATACACAATGCAACAAACAAGAACAGTGCCAGTTGCCTAGTTGGCAGTTTTATGACATGGACCCGACTGGACTGTCAGCACCAATTCATTTCACACCCCGGATACCAGAGCAGCCCTCAGATGGTGGTAACTTGGTTCTAGCTTGGGCCAGGAAGCGCCGTGTTCTCATACAGCTGCACATAATCTAATACGTGTTTCATAACACTTCCTCCCCTCCCCCCCGATGGGGGTTTCTTGCTCACCCTTAATGTTGGATGTTCAAGGAACTCTGTGGGCTAAATGCAAAATTGGCTCTGCTGCGCTGAGAAAGAACAGAACCCTAAGGAATGAGCAGCACGAGCCAGCAGTCAGTGACAGACAGACTGTACCAAACTACTACATAATTAGGAAGAATATAACCAGATTCATAATAAACTGCACCAGCCACTGGTGGATGGAGACCTCTCCACGCTGACCTCATTCTTCTCAGTGCAACGGACATTTGTCTTCACCTTGGTCAGTACTTGGATCTCATCCACTCCCGTTCTCTTATTTCTCTTCCCAACTAGTTGCTGCTCTGTTCACCACTCATTCTAAATTCTATTACCATTATACCAAAACTTTACCCCTTCACCTGCAATCAAGCAGCAAATATTTTTATGGACTCCTTATGCTGTAATCACATTAGATTTCAGCAAAGTAGGGGTGGGCCTAGTTAGCATTTGGATGGGAGACCTCTGATGAAACCCAAGGTTGATGCAGGAAGTGCTCTCTTTTCGAATAGTCAGCACTGAACTGATCACCTGGCAGCATCATACGGGGTTATGTGCTGCAGGAGGGAACATCTTTCATATCCAATTTGTGCTTTACTAAAAAAAAAAAAAACAGCCATAACACTTTAAAAGAAAGTGTAGCCCTTCTTGGTGCAATGCAGAATGTGAGCATGCAAGGAGTTAAACCCAGACCAACAACGTAACCAAGTTAGAGTTAAACCTCTGGCCTGATATGATAGAGTTAAGAAGAGTTTAAGAAGGAAAGTAGAGCAGCATGAATCAAGGGCCGGTCAGCAAGACAGCTGAATAGCTATGCTCCCATGGACCCTTGATACTGCCAATTTCCACCTTGATCATTTTCTTCCCTTCAGCACTGGGAACCGGTAGTCAAGAAATGAAAAATAGTGATGCTATCAACCGGCATTTCAGAGTCACCAGTGACTAGAGTGCCACCTCGTGGTCTAAAGCTCAATGTGGGGGCTCAGCTCACTAAGATGGGACCAGCGAAGCAAAAATGTGTCTCAACACAAGCCCCAAATGACAGATCTACTTCATGCTGTCAGGAAAGTGAAGCTAAATTGGTCAGAGGATGGAATGTGTGAGCATCTGCTAGCTTAGGCACACAGAAATAGGACTGTCCACAGCAGGAATGTTTGCAGCATGCCCAAGTACAAAGAGGTCAGGTGAGGATATAGGAGGCAAATTCCATGTAAGCATCCTGCTTAAGAGAGTTCTTGCCTTTTATCTAAAAGGAGATATTCAGATAGAGCTCAGTACCACACCTAAGGGCAAAATGCTGAACGCGTGCTAACTTGTTGGGCGTTCCCCCTTTAATTTTTGTATCTGGTTAAGGCCCAAGACAGAGACAACTCACAAACATGAAAGTCACTCTCTCACAAAATGCAATCGATTGCAGGAAAGAAATGCTATTCAGAATTTGTTTTCATCATAATAGTCATCACAGAGAGAAGGCTGTTTATAGTGGCTAAACCAAGGTCCAGCAAAACTCTTTGGAACACTGGCTTTGCCAGCCCTATGGTCCATCCAAACCTATATCTTTTCCCCCAAAGTGATCCCCACCTGCTGCTTCAGAGAAAGGGGTAAGTTGCTGCCTAAAGGATGTTTACAGAATAACCTGTCCATAGGGGAAGTTTCTCCCTTAGCCCTATCACTTAGTGGTTGGCCTATGTCCTGAAGTACAAGGATTAACATCCCTTATATCCCATCTAGGGCAACTGTTGCCTAACAGAAGTGGTTAGGTAAGTGAAGGACAAACAAAATGAGAGTGAAAACTTCAGGGTTGCCCTAAAGCGGATGTAGCGGTCTTTTATTTTAATCTACCACCACCAGAAGGTTGGTCCACCACAACCCCTGGTAAATTGTTCCAATTGTTAATTACCCTCACTGTTAAAAATTGGTGCCCTATTTCCTGAAATTGTCTAGCTTCAACTTATAATAAAATAAATAAATAAATAAAATAACTTCCAGCCATTGGATCTTGTTATACCTTTGTCTGCTAATTAACCAACTTTTGTTCCCCATGTAGGTACTTATACACTGTGATCAAGTCGCCCCTTCATCTTCTCTTTGTTAAACTAAATAGATTGGGCTCCTTGAGTCTATCACTGCAAGGCAGGTTTTCTAATCCTTTAATCATTCTTATAGCTCTTCTCTGACCCCTCTTCAATTTAGCAACATCTTCCTTGAATTGTGGACACCAGAACTGGACACATTATTCCAGCAGTAATTGCACCAGTGCCAAGGACTGCTTTAGCCTTTTGGCAACAGCGTCACACTGGTAGCTCATGTTCGGCTAATTGTCCCCTTGACCCCCAAGGCTTTCTCAGAGTCACTGCTTCCGAGGATAGAGTCCCCCATCTTGTAAGTATGGCCTGCATTCTTTGTTCCTAGATGCATGACTTGACATTTTGAGATATTCAAACACATCTTGTTTGCTTGCACCCAGTTTAC